GGGGTTGGGGTTTTTTCTGAAGCTGTTGCGCAACACGGCATTTGTTCAAAATCGTGTGCACGCCTATCGCTAACGATGGTTTATCGGAACTTGGAACGGGAGTGAAGTGCTCGTCGGGAGTTTTTAGGTACAAGCCGGACAGCAGGGACCTTGCCCATCTAACCAAACCATATCTGACGAAAGCTGAAGTCAACAGAAACAAAATGACAAATTCTGCTGGTTTTCCCACACTCATTTAATTACCGGAAATGCACTTTTTGTTAATTCTAATCACGTTTTATCTGCTGTACCCTTTCTCCAATTTTTCTGTCACCTGGAGAGGTGCTTTGGTGTGCTGAACTGTAGGTTTCCCCTCTCCACAGAAGATGGGGGAGGTCCTTTTCCTGCTGACACCCAAACCCTACAGGACTCTCGGTCACTCCAAGCAGAGTTCAGCCTCCCATGCCTTATATTTGTCACGAGCTATTTTTACTCTTGTAACCCGCTCTGGCAAGTATTGTGGTTGTGGTCGGTTCTTTCCCTCCACCCCCAAGTCCTTCCAAGTGGAATAAAGCCTCCCACCCAAAAATGTGTGCTGAACTTTCAACTACCCTATGGATACATGTACATAGTATTTGTCAGCAGCTGAGGGGGCACATACTCAGCAAAGGGGTCACGTAATTCAGGTCTGTTTGCCAAGGGATTTCTAGGACTGGAAGCCCTTTGAAGCAGGCAGGGTGTGCCTGAGGACAGTGTCAGTGTGCTTTAGGAACAGCTAATCTAGGCATCCATCAAACCCAACCACTTTTGCACTCGTGGAAAGAGCTGGCTCCCACTTTTAAGTTTCAGTGAGGAGGGGAAAAAAATCCCACACATTTTTTCTTCCTAAGTACCTGGTTCCTCGAGGCACTACTGTTCACTATATAGTTTTGTATTTCTTCAACAAAAACACAGGGTCCTGCTCAGCCTGCTGTACCTTTCACACAGATTCATCCTGTACGCTGTATAGCTTTATATACTTGATCAGTAGTTTTGCACCCAAAAGTGGGTGCTTGCAGTATTTTTAAAATCTGTAAGCTGGAAAAATAAATACTCCGTGATATGACATCTAAGTGGCGTGCACATGATTCTTCAGGAGGATTGAATCTACTGCATAGACCTCATCCATTTGCTCTAACAAAGCAAGAGCAACATTGCAGGTCATGGTTTTCTGAGGAGGAGTACCATGGGGGGAGCCCTGCATTAGGTTTCATAGATATTTGCTGACAGTGAGGAAAAGGTGGGAGTCAGATGGGAACTCTTGGGCTCCATTTCAGTGCAGAAGAGGAGTATCCTCCACAGAGCACAAATTCTTTCGCCCCTCCTTCCCCAGCCGTCACCTCCTTCCACTAATGCCCTCCCAGTCTGTCTTTGCCCCATCCCTGGGTGCTTGCTAAAGCCCCACTTACCACATCCAGCCAGTTCTAGCCTTCACTCCTCAGCATCACCCAGAAAGTGCTACTTTGCCCCTCTAGGCTCCAAGTCAGTGTTTGCAGTCCCATTCTCCTCACCTAATGGATCCTAATTCTGTCCTGCTCCCTCCTCCTAGCTGTATTCCCTGCCTCCACTAGACACCAGTCTCCCCCTCTCAGCTCTTTCAGTCCTTGCTGAAGACAATCCCAGTTTGTTGCCCAGCCAGCCCAGGTCACCTCTCCACTTGTTTCCTGTCCCAGTCTCCCTAAACCCTATTTTCTTTACAGCTTGCAAAGTCTGCTCTTCTCTTTTTCCTCCTTGCTCCTACCTCTCCTGTACTTTTTGTGCAGTCCCTATCTGCATCTGATGCAGAGAATGCCCCACATGACGCATCACGCAGCCTGGGATTTGAGAATTGAAAACAAGGGGCTTTTTGGCCGAGTTATTTTTCTGCCAGACCACTGAAATGGCTTTGCACGGGGTCAGATGAGAGCAGTCAGCGCAGTGTGCTGCAGAGGACATGCCAACACACGGCCAAAGTGACTGTGACATGAAAGCCAAAGGCAAAGGCAAAGCCAAAGCAGCCAGTGCACTGACTGGTTCTAGTCTAGGACTGGCTTAGGCTTCTTTGGCATTACAGCTGAGGATGTCGAGTCTTGGAGCCACAGCTGAGCCCGAGCTAACGGGCACAGAAATGGCGAGGCTTGGCCACGGAGCAAATTGCACTGTGGCAGCTGCCTCCAGACTAACCAATTGCTCGTTTGAAGGGCTGAAGAAGGAGCAGGGAGTGCACAGGAATGCAGGCATCTGAAAGCAAGACAAACTTAGCTCTGGCTCATCCAGGGAAAATTTACCACTCATGGGGAGTGGCTAAATTACTTTTAGGGATTAGGTTATCTGCTCCCAGCTTGCGGTTTTCTTTTCCAATGGAGATATGTCAGATAATCGGAGGGTTGAATTACTCATGTGACCACAGTCTAATCGCTTGAAATTAACCTTTAGGATATACTTAAAATCCTCTTTGTCTGCCATGAGGACTTGTGAAGCATGCACCAGCAAGATATCCAATAATTTTAAAAAATTAACCATGACAGGATTCATGCCAGCTTGACAGTTCCGACTTGCATGTTTGAAAACTGATAATATGTATCATAATTAGTGTTAACAACAGTTAATATAATAACAGTTATGTTATTTTGGTATGTTCCTCTTCACAATCCCGGATAATTTGCACACTCCATGTACAACAATTTTCTATTGTTAGTATTGTATATCTATTTGTGCTACGTCCCAATTTTCCATCTGTGTACAATGGATCTTTCCGAACCACAATATTTTGTGTTGGTTCACAATTATATTGGGCATCTTGACATCACAGCAATTAATTGAAGAGGCGCTTCAAGGGGCCTGGGTATCCTTTAAAGTAGGGAAACCACAGCACTGCCGGAAAGCTCTTCTCCCTCCGCAAGGCGCACAGCACGTGAAGAAGCCAGGCAGAGCGGACCCGCAAGTGCGGTTCCTGGAGCGGGACGTGCTGAGCAGGAGAGCCTCCCTCCGGTCCTCCCGCTCCGTGCTCCAGCTGCGGCTTCTCTTGTGTGGGTCTGGCAGCCGTGTTGTCTTCAATGAGCTGGTTCAGCCAGAAAAAATCAGCTCAGAGAAGAAAATGGATGTTTTTCAGCTGGATACAGTTTCGCAAGACACATGATAGCTCTCTGCTTCCAAAAGGGTATTCCCCAGTTCCACCATGATTTTCCCTCTCCCAGCCAAAAGCTCCTGCCACTCCCTGTGCTCTCTTTGGTATTTGTTGGACCTTTACCTGAGCTGATGCAATTCACTAAAATGGCACAAAAATAGCTTAAGCAAAAAGTTGGGTAATTTCCTGCTGTTTTAGTGAGTTAATTTGGGCAAAGGTCCAAAAAGTGCCGGGGCAAGGAGGGTGTAGCGAGACTAGCTGTGTGGAAGCAGCGAGCTGCTCAGTCAGCTAAACTGCTCTGGTAAATTCCATCCTGACAGAGCTGCTGGGAGCATCACTGCTGAGGATATCCCACAGAAGGAAAAATCACACTTCACTTCCAGCTGCTGCACGTTATCAGAGCAGATAGGGGGTCTTGGCTGCAGGCAAAGCAAGGGAACAGCTTCACATAGGCTGAAGACTAAGCGAGACCACAAGAATTTTTTTCTCTGTTGCAATAAAAACAGTGCTATGACTCCTGAAATCAGACTGATTTAGGAAAGACAAAGGAAGAAAGTGTAAATTATTTTTATTTATAAGCAATGGATGCATGCTAAATGAGGCTTCTATTCCTTTTATACAAAGTCCTTGCCTTCCTAGTCTTGTTCCCATTCTATCTCCTCCTCCGTATGTGTTAACTGTTTGTGTGGAAGAACTACTGGATATTTACCCCAGAGATGGGACGGTACCTATGAAATCAAGCCATAATTTTCTTTCTCCTTATATTAGAAAGCTTCAGTTCACAGTTATTAGGCTATCATGTTTTTTCTCCTGTTTTAAGAGAAGGCACCAGTCTTTCAACATTTTATGCCTATTTGCAAATTCATTGAATGTCACCAGTAGGAAGAAAACATTCATATTTAGTATCTTCATTTTTTATAGGTTGTGCCTTGGGTTATGATTATGAGAATGTTGTATTATAGTCAATCTAAATTATAAGTCTACAAAATGGAAAACATATATCCAAAACATGTT